AGCAATGAGGGGTGGTTTAAACAAGTAGTGCAGACAGAGTGACATGGATGATTTGTTTACACAGTTTTTCCACACACATTTTCAGATTGGTCAAATCTTTTCTTGTTGTGTTGCTGCCGTGTGTGTGTCAACGTGGACACTATTAATCAAGTTATGACTTACTAGATGGATTTCCTCTGTAATTAACACTTCACAAAGATATATACCTGTTCATAGTAACGGTGCCACCACCTGAAGCCTGTGATGTCACAAGGTTGTAATGTGTGCGGCCATCATACAGAGGCTTGAAAACCTCCTGCAGCGTTTGCAGTTTCATTTCTGAGCCGGTCAGAACAGAGGTAGAACTACAAAGCTGGAATTTTTTGTGAATGAGTTGAATATGGTTTTACACAGAGCTTTTAACAAACTCACAGGGGGAGGTAATCACACTAAATAAATACATCACACTATTAAAGTTAAATTATTCAAAAAATATTAATTACCTGACAGTGTCGATACTTTTATTTTCTTATGCTACATGTGCAGCTTAGAACAACATGGGAAATAAAAAACTAAAGCCTCTGATGTCTCTCATTTGATAGGATGAAATAGTGTGCACACTGTTCAATATTTCCATTATAAATGAGCTGATCACACATGAACTACTTACCTTCTCTCTTCTGCTTTAGCAACAGAAACAGTCTGACATCACTTTAGCTTTTTATCTGCATCGATAAGTCAAATGGTCTGTTCATTATCAGAGTACTTTCTAAAATTCCTCTGCTTGTTAACAGTTTATCCTCACCCTGACTTTAAATAATGGCATTTTGATTCATTGTCACTGTTGTCTGTCTCTGTTCTTTATCTAGCATCTCTTCTCATATATTAAAACCTTTATTCGTGGTTCTGACGTCTCTGTCTCTTGTGTATTAACGCTCATAGCTGGATAGAATAACCAAGGGTTACCTGAGCCAGTTGATAGCCAGCTTTGTAGTACAGCTTATCCAGCACGGGTGATGATATGTTCAATGAAGCCAGATAGTGAAAATATATCCTGGGCATGGTGAACTTGCTTTTTAGTACAGGCTCCAGGACTGTCATGTTGTCCAGTGGCACAGATGAGGATAGACCTGGGCCAGCTAGTTGTTCACTTGTCCATCTCCTATCCATTACACGTATGGTCTTCTGACCGCCCAACATACTGTGACAACAGTGATACAGAGGCCAAAAGGGGCTAAACAGTGCCAGTTGGGAAGTAGGAGAAAGGTAGGGCTTTTAGCAACCCACTGAAGTCTGCAGGTACTCAGACATCAAATATGCTCAAACCAAAAAATCAGTATTCACCAGCGGATCTGTTTGATATGAACATCATCATTGACTGCAATAAAGTTCCACCTGAGTGTCTCTCTGAGTGTCTCTCTCTCATTGAACACATCTTTCACTGTGAACAGCATCCCCCTGCAGCATAGCAGTTCTCTGATGGGAGCTTGGCTTCACAATATAGCAACCACAATGACTGTCAGAAATTAAATGAGCCACAACCATTAGAAACACCTGAGCCTGAAAATAGTCACCTAAAACTCGTGTCACTTCACGCACATTTGATTTGTGAGCTAGAGAAGGTCCCAGATGATGCAAACCTCCACAGTTTGGAAATAGTTCTTAGTGGTACCCTGCCAGGACTCCATAGCAGTGGCCGCTCCTGACATAATTCTCAGGGGGGGCAGTTGTTGCGATGATGGCTAAGGTTACCTGCTTAATGGGTCAATAAATGAATCAGTGTCGCTCCGGTCACTTTAACACTCAGTCCTGCTGTTCAAGTCACGTCTCGTGTCGTACTGAGCACAAAATGTTGACAAGTCTTTTTTTATTATTTAATGTTAAATAGTCATTTAAATGCAGCCTCATGAACTCTGGAATCAAACAGACACTGAGTTACTTCATGTAGTGATCAGTTCCTAATAACTAGTGCTAGTGCTAGTAACTGTACTGTTTATTAGTGTAAAGTGAGAGCAGCTCAGAGTGGAGGAGGACACAGAAACTCCAGCTCGATACAAACCAACTGCAGCTTCTGCTCTGATCATGAAGCAGCTGTGACCAGAGAGACTCTGTGTTTTCACTGTTTCCACTGTTCTTCAACAAAGTCTCTGACCTGCTGCTTCACGTGAACGCTCCTATCGTCGCACTGTGTGTGTCGCACTGTCTGCCCGCTGCTGGTATTTCACATAATGGCCTGATACGATGATTTAAAAAAGTCCCTCTCGCTGGGGTGAACGTCGTATGTTCATCATATGAAAACTGAATCTTTCAGTTTATTGTTCACAAAAATGATGAAAGCCTTCGATGAACGTGTCATGCACAACACTGCTCCTCTCTCAGAAGTCATAGAGATGGCATTGCAGTGCCTGCAGTTTGAAAAAAAATGTCTTAGTATGAAGCCAACCAGACTGAAATCACTCAATACTCTATTGAACAGGACTTGTAACCATCAGGGACATCAGGCACAATAATTTACTTTTGAAACAAAACTTGAGTTGCTGCCTCTTTCAAGGAGGTAATGTTGTCCTTCTTATCCATTTGTTCATTGGTTTGTTTATTTTATGTTTTTTTTCAGAAATATTACTCAAAAACTCATCTGCCCGGATTTGCACCGAATGTGTTGAATGGATTAAAAATCGGGTCAAGAAAGAATACATTTCTTTGACACGATGAGATTGCAATTTTTGACATTTTCACTGATTTCTCAGCAAATATCTGATGGATCTTGATGAAAAAAATTCCATAATTAGGGGACTAATATCTAGGAGTGTATGCAATTTGGTTGCGGCCTGATTACATTGAAGGGGACTGTTGGGTCTTGGCAGAGTCATGCACTCAACTGTGAGCCATTCTAGTTTTAGCATTTTTAGGTCTTCATAACACCCTTTGCACAAAGTATGGACAATTACCATGGTACAGAGCAAACAGTGAGAAAGCAAGTAATATAACTTGAGTTCCCTTTTGTTGGAATCTTTTGTTGCTGCTGTGAAGTGGAAAAAGGATGAGATGATTTCCCAGAGCCAGCACACCAGCTGCATATGGTGAAACTCACAACTCTTTGCTACTGATATTAGCTTGCTACTGTAGCTAATATCAAACCACCAACAAATCTCAGCAAATTTGTGAAAAATAGATATGAAATGACTAATGTTACTCAGTCCTCAAGTAAAAACAGAGCAACATCTGCTTCCATCTTCACGCCATTCTCTGGGGTTCCCCTTCTCTTTGAAACCCCAATAGATATTGACAGTGGCTGATAATTGCACTTTTAGGAGGAGGAGAGGCTGAAATATCCTTTTTATCTTTAACACAGGTCAGGCATCAACACTACTTTATCCTGCTGAAAGAGTCCCTTTTCATCCAACCCTCCCACCTGATCAATGTCCAGATCTAACTGCACACCCCCTTTGTATCGAAATGCATATGCTTAAGTCCAGACCAAGATTCTCAGACACTTGATAAATCTCCTTCAGAGCCATCACCAACATTAAACTGCTCTTTTTACAGGATGAATAGGACTCCCCATGATGAGTAGAACTTTTTAAGTGCCCCTTTGTCTGATCCACCCGGTGTCTGAAAGAGAGGTATTGCTCCTTCCTGCAACTGTACAATCAGCTCTGCTCCCAGTAGACTACACACACCTATTATGGACTGCACTCTAACTCTGGTTCAACATCTGTGCAGCATCCTTTTCTGTCTGTCTAATTCAATGTTTTATGTGCAATCCATTTCACAGTATATACTGTCACACTGTATATCCTGTTTACACTGTATATATTTTTTCCATTCATATTTTTTAGTTTTTACAAGTATTGCATATAACATTATAACTTTTCTGATGTCTATGTCTGCCTAAGCTGTTGATGCTGTTATATTGTCCACTTTTGTGGATTATTCACACTCTCTCTTGACATTGAACTCCTCATAAGACCATGTTTTCATTTCTTTCTGTTGTGCAGGATTACATAAAATCTACAGAATCATTTTTCATTTTTCAGGTTGGAGTATGGGCCAAGGGGAAATCTTATTCACTTTTGTGGTGATTTGATTAATCAATTTTCTTTGTAATTTGTTTTGCAATTTCTCAAGAAATATGATCTGAGTTTGTGAGTCATAATAAGGGGCAGTCTTGATTCAGTAACTGTACCATAGCAAATAAAGCTAGGAACCTTATGTTCACGTCATGTTAATGTCAGTCTTGAAGTGTTTCATTTTTATATTGGCCTCTGATTTTCAAATTGTTTGACATTTTAAGGGTTTAATTGGTTTGTTATTTTCAACCATATCAGAGAATGGATATTTTCCATGTTGTTAATGTGAGCACTCTGCGGTAAATCTCTATATACATGTTCTCATGTTATTTTAGTATTTGACAGGACTGATTTATTTCCAGGTGGATTTTTTTTCTTTAAAAATAAATACAAGTAGAGAAATTTGCTACTCACTAAGAAGGTGTTGTCAGTTTAAATTTTGTAATGGGCTACTTACTATTTTATAATGACTATGTCACGGTTATGGTATCTTCTCTCACGGTTATTGTATTTTGTCACGGTTATGGTATTTTGTCCTTTTTTATAAAGAGTGTTTTCAGTTCTAGTTTAAATTGTGTTTTTGTTACGTTTGGAATTCATGTTTTGAGTTTGTTCTATGTTCCCTCTTTGTCCCTCGCTATATTCACCCTGTGTTGCTCTCATGTTCCCTTCTGCCTTCCTCTGTGTTCATCTCTGTGTTCCCCTTTATGTTCCACCCTGTCCCTCTCCTGTGTTCCCCTCTTTGTCCCTCGCTCCTCTCATGTTCCCTTCAGTGTTCCTCTGTTTCCTGTTTTATTTTGTAGTCCCTGCTCCCGGTGTGTTTTCCCCATTTGACTTCCTGCCCTCATCATGATCACCTGTTTGTCTTGTGCCACCTGCCCTCACTTACTCATTAGTTCAAGTGTGTATTTAAGTCTTGGTGTTTCCCCCGTGTGGTTGTTGGTTCGTCGTCGTACTTCGTCCTGTTCATGAATCCCGTTGTTCCTCATCATGTTCATGTATCTCGTCATTCCTCGTCATGTTCATGTGTCCCGTCACCTCTCGCCACGTTCCTCGTAAGTTTTTACATGTCTTTCTCTGTTCCACTCCCCTGTTATGATTGAGTGTGAGATTTGTTTATTGAAGATTTCTTTTGTTACGTTTTTACCTTAAAATAAAGGACACTTTTCATTATGAACAGTATTTAGTTTCTGTGTCTTGGTTCCCCTTTTCCTACCACACCCCCCCCCCCCACTAAACCTGACAGACTATGGATGAATTATTACATGTAAATGAATGAGGTCACTCAAAGCAAGTTATGACTCCTCCCAGCAGGTCCACTCACTTCTATCGAGCTTTACAGGATCTTTTACCAAGTCCACCTTTTGAATTCACTCATTATTTTGATCAGTAATTGAGCGTGTCCTGCACCAAAGAACAGAAAACCAAACTCTGTGATCAGTGGGTAAATGTACTAAGCTGCTTTCGGACAGGCACTGAACTCTGAAGACACTTTCTCTGGAGGAGGTGCATGTGTGAACGCAAATGTCCGAGTGAGAGACACTGGATTATCTGTGGAGAAGGTCAGGGGGACACCCCACTGAATATTGGCAAGTGGGTTGTAAGAACATTGGACTGGATGAGCAGACTATATGAATTAAACCAGTCTGAAATGATGTAACTGAGGACAAGGAGGAATCTGACATCAGATGTCCTTTATTCATGTCTTCTTTCCATAATCATTGAAAGTACTGTATATGTGTGTGTGAGAAAGTGAAGTGTTTGCATAAATACATTATGTTCATTTTTATGATGCACCAAGTGATGCTCACCGTTTGAAGGTTGCATCAGAAGAAGAGAAAGAGGAGCACAGAGAGCTGTTTACAGAGCGATTGTGTCATTGTGGCTGTCATGCTGATAACGTATGAGTCTCAGCGAGCGGTGTTGAATTACAAATGACCTGCATAACATACATAGTGTATTGTAAATGCTTTGAAAACAGTGCATTATGAGGAACATTAAGAGATGACTAAAACTCCTCTGAGTGCTTTTTCCACCCAAACTTATACTGTAGGCTTCTATTCATCAACAGCACTCTAATGCAATGCTACTCTACAGTACCACATACAAATGCTGCAAATGTTACACTCGGGGCTATATAATGAAAAGGTACTGTATACAGTGTATGCTATATTAATGAAGCACATTGTATTGAACTATAGTTATTTACCATGTGGATCTGTGTCCACTCTGAGGATACGTGATTGAGACCTTGGCTTACCATCCAGTTTCTCTTCTGAAGTTAAGAATACCCCAGATACATTGTAGCTGGATTAGTGAACACACCAGCACAAAGGTTGCTGAAAGTAGACGAGGTAAAGAAAAGGGTAGTGGGCTCACTTTATTTCTTTGGTTTATGCTGCAGACCTTTGTAGGAGTACATTCATCTTTAAATGGTTAGAAATGACACAACATACCCCACGAGAACAGTTTTGAATTTCAAACGCTGTGAAACTGTTGGATGTATGTATGTATAAGCTTTCTTCAAAAAGTTATCAACTCAAAGTGCTATAGATGAGGATGGTGCAGGGCACTGACTGCAGTGTCACACAGATACCACATAGTTAGTATGCAGGTAATGTCCAGGTCCAGGGTGTCCATTCTCAGCGTCTTACCCAAGGGATGGAGCTGTAACTCTGGGTCATCCCGACATGACAGTCTTCTTGTGATTTGGAGAAGTCATGGAGGTCATAGCCTGGTGGCAAGGGCCGATGGGACAAATAAAAAACTGCAATGGAAAGGAAGGAAGGAAGGAGAAGCAAGACGTTTGCTATCATGGAAAGAAGAAACAAGATGTCAGGGTAGAAATGTACTGCCTCTTGAGTAGGGCTGGGAAATATGACATCAAATCAATATCACAATTATTTCAAAATTACGATTAATGATTATTTAATGTCGGTTTGCTATCATAGTTTTCTGACAAGGCCTGTATTGGAAATATGCTGACCTATTGAAGCTGGTCTGTTTTTTGATTGCAGTGCATATTTTATTGTAATGACTCAGTAGCATTTTGTTACATTCTAATGTGACATTGTAAATTACATTTTTTTCCTCTAGGATTTGTTTTAGCAAACAGCAGAGGAGGCAGGTGGCTTGACTGACTTAACTGTGGTAAGATTATCTCCATCTATTTTATACAATATAGTCATTTTAACCCTAAAGAGTTTTGTGCCTATTTGTTTCTATTGTTCATTTAGTGGTTCAGATACATCTCCAGCACAGGGGTGTCGCTTCTTCTGTGATGTGTGTGTCTGCTCTTTTCTGTCGCTCTTCACACACTGTCGATCAAATGTATTTAGTTATTTATCGATGATGTTGGATCATGAATCCAGATTGTTCTGGTCACTTTAACCCTGATGTCCTGGCTTTGTGCGTCTCGTCTCCTGTTGTGTGTGACTTTATTTTCAGTTTGTTTAAATACGTACGTCATAAACTTTAGAGCATATCACACAGGAGAGTGTGGAGGGAGGACAGCTTTAAACAAATTAACCCACACAAGCAAGATTAAGTCGTATAGAGGGTATAAATATCAGTTTCGATACATTTTTGGTTAATTGCCCAACCTAATCTTGAGGATTTACTGTTCCTTTTCACCTGGGACTGGTAAGCAGTAAGGAACGTGACTTTCTGTTAAGTTGAATAAAAAGCAATTTTCTCAGGAAGCTGAAAAGTATGATCTTGAAAAAAACCTTTTCCTATGTGTGGTGACAGTATTTTCAGTTTCATAAGTTTTGACTACAGTATATGTATTTGTCTCTATTGAATAAGCACAGAGGCGGGTGGCTTAGCCTTTCACAGTATTATAATTTATGTTGCTTTCAATTTATCAAGATGTGCACAGAACTGTCTACCAATTTACATTGAAGTAACAACAAACACATTTTGGCTAATTTAATAAAGCAGCTAGACATTAAAATGTATTGAAATATGAATCGACCTCAAACTCAGGACTAAACTGCAGTACTTACATTAAAGCTGCCTTGGGAAATAGGGAAATGTGACTGCTACAGTGGCTCTGTGCTCTGTCTCCAGGGCTTTTACATCTAGGTCAATGGCTTACACCCCTGACACCTCCTCTATTGATATTGGCCTCATGTTTGTTCTAAGTCTATGGAAACCGGGACATAGCATTCAGTTAATTATCTTTACTCCTGCAAAACGATTCATCGTTGAAACTTCCCAAGAAATGTAAATCAATCACATGTTTTAACCTTCACTTGGCAATATGCACTCTGTATTCTGGCTGTTATTATTGGAAGTGTCAGGTGGGGAGAGGGGTAGGTTGCTGTGAGCCTGGGTTTAAATTGATTTAATCAGCTTGTGCAGTTGGAAGCAGCAATTTTTTCAAATGCACCAATAAGGGGGAACCACCTGTTGGCCATCAAGCACATGCACGCACACACGAACAAAAAAATGCACACACACATTCGGCAGAGGGGGTGATAAAGACCGAGAACTTGCAGAGGCACAGAGCGAGAGAACGAGAAGTGGACAAATAAAGCAAGAAAGCATCCAATCAACTTCTTTCAGAGGCATTAAAGCCGCTCATTATTCTCCTGCTCTGTTTGGCCATGACTCGACAGGATAGGATTCTTCTCTAATCTCAGAAAATCAGCCGTTAACCATTAGTGCCAGCTGCTGTTTGATATCCCCGATTGAAGGTTCTTTTTCCTGATTCTTGCTGCTCATTAAGTTCCTCTGAAGCGGTATCTTGTGAATTGATCAGAAGGCCCTTTTAAGCTTCCTGTACGTGTTTGTCTTTTAGGACAGAACAGTTATACATGATATTTAGTGTATGATGCTAACACTGGTCTTTTGTTAACGGAATTCAAAATTTGTCAGTTCATCATCGTGCACCACGACATGATTCATTCTAGAGTTGTTCACTTTGACCTCAATCGTCCACAGCCACGCTTTGAAGCTTTATTCGGAGAAATGGTGCTGTGAGCTAATGATAATGTCAGCACGCTGACAGCATATTGGACAAATTGAAATTGAAAAGTCAGGAAAATATCCAAAGTCACTGCGAGTAATGACATCCATCCCCCTTTGGGAGGCTTGGATGTCTCTACCAAGTTTCATGGCCGTCCTTTCAATAATTGTTGAGACATTTCACTCAAAGCCACAAATGTCAGCCTCATGATGGCTAATGAGGATCCAGTGTCATTAAAATGAATTGTCTGGGAAATGCATGTCTTTACAAAAGTTCATGGCAATATATCCTGTAGTTTCAGAGATATTTCAGTTGTGAACAAAGTGGTGGAATGACTTATAAATCAACAGAGTGAAACCGCCATTCCTCTGCTAGTCATTGTAGCTGTCCACCCCTAAAGTCCCCTAAAGTGGGTTCCATTACATCCAAAGTGGTGCTACACTGAAGACCATGTCATTTAAAAAATTTGCATAACTGCCTTGTTCTCCTGTGGAAGAATTTTGAACCATTACATGCTTAAAAAATGCAGCATTTAACTTCTGAACAGAATTCTGTCTGTCGATTGCACTCCTACTCTTGTTCATTACACTCTGTGGTTTTACTGAGAAAGCATACATTAGCTAGAGTTGACTAATATTCATGAACTAGATTTCTGTTTCTGTAAAATGTGCATTACTGAGTCAGTAAACTTGTGAGTCCTTTCTATTTCTTGCTTCAGTTATGCCATGGTTTACCATCTAATATCAAAGTTACCAATTTGCAACAGTAACATGTCTGCAAATCCACTTTGCTCCATTTCTTTATTTGTAAACCATGATGTGACCAACGATTGGCTTGCACAGCAGTTTTCAGACAAGCTTTCGCCTCTATGCTCTCGCCCAAGGGGCATGTGACAATACTTGCAATATACTGTAGTAACTGCAGCTATTGAGAGTTCTTGGTTTTAGTGCTGTTATTCCCTGAAACTCTAAAAGTGTTTTGTGGACTCAAACAGTTTGACCTATCCTCCATTGGCATAGTGGTGAGTAGATAATGACTAAATGGTTAACTATTCCTTTAATATCTGTTATCGTAAAAGATGGTTCAATTTTAACTCCTCCTATCATTTAACCATGAAAAGTAATTATTTTGTTAGGAGTCTGCAGCAGCATATTCCATCAATCTTGCTGTCGAAACATCAAGGTGATAAAGTACATGGAAGGAAAGCATACTAACTCAATACTCACGCGAGTAAATTCAAGATAAATGTCAGGCCTTTGGGAGTGTCACATGTGTAAAGCCAATGCACCTCTTCCTTTAGAGAAGGAAGGAAGGGAGAAACACAACAAACTACAAGCATCTGATGATGACTGGGTTACATTTGAAATGAAAGGGATGCACCATGTCTGACTTTGTGTGTGACACTGTGCCAAGTAAATCAGCTGGCAGTGTGAGCAACCATGGGCCTGGTGGTGAGCAGACAATTGAAGACAAGTTGGGAGTTCGAGTGCTTCACTGTATCAAACACTAAAACTGTTATTTAGTGTTAAAGAAAAAACTTTGTACACTGTATTTTGTAATTTGCACTATTTGAATCTACTACTTGAATCTTGTGTTGTGTTTTATTTATTATGTGATTTTCTTCTTTATTTTTTTTTTTGTTTTCCATTCATTATATATTTGTTTATTTAGGATAAGTAACTTGCACTGTTAACAGTTAATGTGTCAAATTCCAACCAAAAAAGTTCTTATTTTTCTTTTGTGCTTTTCTTTTTGATAGAAACTACAATAAGCACAGTCTTGAGATATCAAGAAAAAAGACCAAGAACACGTTTTTTGAAGCCACCTTGACCTTTGACCACCAAAATCCACCAAATTTATTGAGATATTGCTTTCACGGGAATGGGACGTACAGACAGACGGACAACCTGAAAGCATAATGCCTCCGGTCACAGGCTATTGCCGGCGCAGAGGAATAAAAAGTGCTGGCAGCACAGTCAAGAAGGCAACATAACTGTTGTAAAAGTATCCATTTAGCACTGGAATTGGAAAAAACAAATGATACCCAACCCTATTTAAAAGGTAGTTGGTCTGTATTTATATAGCACTCTTCTAGTCTTGATGACCACTCAAATGGCTTTGCAGGAGAGTTTTGCCATTAACACACACATTCATACAGTGCACCTATGGGCAGCACATTTTTCTATGAGGGGCCATTCAGGGTTCAGTATTTACAAGTTCAGTATTTACAAGTGATTGCTTTCATAGTGTCACATTGTTTTCACATTGATTATAGTCACACATGGGTATAGCAGTAAAGAAGTTGTAGAACATTAACTGAACCTTTCTTTTTCACTACGTGCCTGAACTTATCGGCCGTGTCCTAGCTTGTCCTGTTACTGTTACTGTGGATCAGGTGAGAATGTGGCCAAAGCCTGTTTATTTCGACTCCCAAGGAAGTTTCAGGGTCAACCATTAATATGTCTAAAAGTGGTCTAGCCCCAGGTGAAGAATATTGAAGTGAGCAGCAACAAAAGCTGCAGAGATAAGTCAGAGCCAAGGACAAACAGATTGGCACGCTCTATTCAGATGCCAGAGCGGGAGACTATGAGATTATCTGTAAACATGAATTCTTCCTCCAATATTTGATGGGGGCTGAAAAAGATCCATATTTCGCTGGAGAGACCTGTGATGCACACACAGAATTGATTAAAAGGTCTTAAAAAAATTGAAACATCATTATTCAGGCACTACAGAGCTTGCACACACACAAACTGCAGGGGGTTAAAGGGACACTGAAGAAAAGAAGCGTACACATGTGCTTGTGTGTACGCATGTCTATTTGTGTTCAGTACAATTCAGCCCTGCAGACGCACTTGAGGGCGTCGTGTTGGCATGACGGTCAGAATTCATTGAGACTCTCCTACCAAGGGGAACCTAGGAAACCTGCTGTTTATCAAAATATGGGCAAAATATGATTCAATGTTTTCATCATGTGACTTTATTTGATACAGTACTGCATTGCCTAGTTTATCCAAGGACGTATAAAAAGAAATGTTCAACTCGGTCTGTAGACTGAACACTGCCCTGCCCCTGATGACTGCTCTAGAGCATTGGTCCCCTGTTTGTTCCATTTTATTAATACTGCGCAGACCTATTTCATATAAGTGTGGGGGCCCTAAGGGTGGGAATGAGCACTGTAACCCCCCTCCCCTTGAAATGTCTATTTGAAATGTCTATTTGAAATGAATGTCATGCATTTCTACATTTTCTTCACCATATGCAAATAATAATGAGTTCAAAATGTACAGTGCATCACCAAGTATAAAGCATAAAGCAATCACAGTTTATTTTATTGTCTGTTTAAATTAACACAGTTTTCCATATTGTTGTGGTTCAGGAGTTGAGAAGGAGTTGATCTAGTCTCTGAGACAAGTCAGGGTGCAGGACGTGGCAGCTGGTGATTTGGATTTGGGTTGACCAATCACATCAGATCAAAAAAAAGTTAATCAATACCAATTGGCTGTAAATAAAAGTTGGAATGTCTGTGGAGCAGAGAGCTGCATCCCATGGAAAATCTGCAACAACCAATTAAAGAGCAGCCTCAGGTCCTGCGCTTGCCAGAAGTTTAAGAACTTATATTTACACTTATTTGGCTGGTTCCCAATAACACACTGGAAAAACAACCTATAGAATTGACCCAATAAATCTAAGGCAACAATTTGCAATCAGTTTGTTTGGGTACATTTAGTTTCATATTTTAAAAAGTACCTAAATTCAACAGCTATGATAAACTAAAATAAATTAGGTAAAGTTTACCTTATATTTCTCAATACATTATCAATACATTACATAATGGATAAATATTGAGTAATATGTACCCCTGATTTGTTAGTAAGCAATTGTTAATGAAGTGAAATTTTACTGTTAATAATTAATCAACCAGCTAACCCTTACTTATTTAGGAAAAGGAGATTAACTTAATTTCAGAAACAAAAACTGGAATTGATCATGTCAAAAATTTGAATCAAGCACATCATCAAAATCACAGTCCTCATGCCAATAACAGCAACATATGTTCTTTAGTCTGTTCCACAACTTCCGTGCAAGCACTTTATTAGCTTTTAAGGCTGTAAAAAACACTTGAGCAGCTTTGCTCCATCAAGCTCCAGAAAAAAGTCTCTAAAATACTTAGATGTTCTTGAGCGCCTTGGGAAACTTGGTTTGGACATAGATCAATCCCATCAACAGCATACATGCCTGGGTTTCAGTTCCACACAGTTCACAATGCTCTGGGACTGTGAGGAGATGCATTTCAGTGAGAAGACTTACAGTTGAAGACAGATGTACACGTACACTTAGGTTGAAGATTTTGTGTTGAAAAACAATTTGGCAAGTCATTTAAGACCTTTACTTTGTGTATTAAGCAAGAAATGTTTCCAGCAATTGTTTGCAGGTAAATTTCTCTTTAATTCACTTTTTCACAATTCCATTGGGTGAGAAGTTTACATGAAACATGCAGGAGAAGTGATGCCATCTTTTGTGCACCACTCCCTCCTGTAGCAAAGCACCCCCACAACATGATGCAGCGTGGTGCTCCTGTACTTCACGGTTGGGATGGTGTTCTTTGACTTGTAATCCTGACCCTTTTCACTCTCAATTTAACAATGATCAGGTCATTACAGGTGAACAACTCAATTCTTGTCTCATCAGAGCAGAGGACATTTCTCTAAAAAGTTATATCTGTGTCCCCATGTGCAGGTGAGAACTGCAGTACTTTATATGGCCTTTTTGGAGCAGTGACTTTTTCCTTGTTGAGTGGCTTTTCAGGTTATGAGGGTGAGGCCTGCAAGCCGAAGGAAACCACGACCACCGTGAAGCATAGGGGTGTCAGGCAGTAACATTTTGCAGGGATGGTTTCCTGCAGGTGGGTAACAAAAGAAACACCAGGTCCATGTATTCTCTTTTCCTCTGAAAACCTAAATACCTGAAAATTGCAAAGAGACATGTCCAACACCTGCAGGTAGTTGACAGACAAGATAGCCAGGTGAAGATCTGACAGTGCTGGAGCTGGTAACAACAGATGTCCTGAGAACCGCTGAATGAGTCGAATTTAGCTTGAAGAGCAAGGAGGAGAGGGCCAGAGGGGACGGGGAGAAAATAGAGAGGGTCAACATATCAATACAATATTAGTTTCAGTTTAATTTTCTACACATTATTGAACATGGTGGGTATCTTTTTTTACATCAAATGTGGAGTAAAGACGAAGAATAGTCATTTAGCGTTGTTTGGTCTGGCAGAGAAAAGCAGATTTAAATCATTTCTGGTGCTGTGATCACAAAAGACATCTACATCAAAATAATGTAATTGTTTCAATTCAGTTTGTTTGACTATTTGTGATACTATCAACTTTGTGTGAGGCAGAAAATGTATTGTTTACATTCTACTCGTGTTGTCAAGATACCAACATTTTAATATTGATATATCGAACAGATCAGAAACACCAAGTCGACAGGAGACATTAGGACTGGACATACTTTTCATATGACTCCACAACCAGAAGACCTA